CAGGGTGTTAGCACATCGATCGGGGACGTCGAGTTCAGGCACGCTCAGAACCGAAAGAACGCCAGCGAGGGCATGCACTGGAGCCACTTCACTGCCTGCTACGTGAACACCGAATCCAAAAGCATGGCGAAAACTGACGAGGAGGGCATTCGTCGCGAGATCGACCTGGAGGAGCGGTCACGTGCTGCAGAGAACCGATCATCAGGCCCATCAAGTGCAGATGTACCTCCACCGCCGCCCCCTCATGGAGCTGGCGACGCAGGCGGAGGCGGTTACTACAGGACGAAGAAGACGTCGGCCAAGCTGCTGTACCGCAAAGACAAGATGAGGATCGACAGCGCGTCTGGGAGGAAGTTCAACCCAGTGTCCAAGGAGTACTGGAAGGAGGTGGACGACGAGTTCGCCGAGATGCAGGAGACTGACCCGTTCAGGTACGACAACTATGTTAGTCGGGCTGATTCTACGGGCACAGGCACGGGAAGCTAAACCAGCTCCTTCCTCCTCCCCCCTCCCTCTCTCGCTCCTCCTCCCCCCCTCCCTCCCTCCCTCCCTCCCTCCCTCCATTCCGAATCCATTCCCTCAACTCATCCCTGATACTCATCCCTCCCCCCTCCTCCTGCCTCCTCCTGCCTCCTCCCCCTCCTCCTCCTCCTCCTCATTTGCTTTCTTGGCTAGGCAGTGGCGTCGTCGCTGTGCCGGGGAGAGCGCAGCAGCGGCGCGCGCAGCAGCGGGCCACGGAGTCGGCCATCGTTCCCGTGGGGGGAGGCGAGGCGCAGTTGGCGGTGGCGCCGCCTGCTATGATCTGCGCCCACTGCAACCTGGATACCCTCTCGCACCCTCATCCGCACCCCGAGCGGCTTCTCGGGCTCACCCAAACGACGACTTTGCCTGGCGGCTCGGATGGTGACCCGAGCGGTGTGATCACAGCGCCGCCTGTGTTGCCAGGCTCGTCGACGCGTCCGCTCGCTGTCGGGGTGCTGGAAAAGTTCTGCATGTCCGAGGAGCCTGGGCTGCAATGCTGCTGCTGCCGCGCGTCGTGTCCTCGGCGGGCGGCCCCCTCCCCAGTTTGAGAGGGATGGGCCCTGGGGCCCAGGGCCACGACGACGACGTCGACGATTACGACGACGATTACGACGACGACGACGAAGACGAAGACGAAGACGACGACGACGACGAAGACGACGACAGGAGTACAGTGGGATCAAGAAGACCGTTGACGGCTTCAGAGTGATGAACAGCGGGGTCGGCAGTGGGCACGACCAGCCAGCTCCTGCACACTTTAAGCCATGCGGCGGTCTTTGCAAGACGGCGACACCCCGATGCAGACTTCGTTTGCAGGCTGCCCGGCCCCTCTTAACATCGACTTAAAACGAAATCGTAAACCGTAAACCTTGAATGGCCCTGGGGCCCTGGGCCCAGCGTTGGCCCCTGCGAGCGGCGGTGGGAGATGTTGAGATGATGTTGGTCGGCCCACCTTTCCCCAGGCTTCCTTCGAGAAGGAGATGCGAACGCAGCTGGCCATCATCGGGACCACCCGCGAGCTAGCCGTGAAGGCGCCGCTGTACGTGTTCACGCTGGAACCCCCCGACGAGGACGACGACGCCGCGGTGGACATGGCCCCGCTGTACGTGCAGTTCTGCTCCTCTAATTGCAGGGCAGGCCCGCTCGAGCCGCGGGAGAACTGGTGCATCTGCAACTTGACGAAGGTGCCTCAACTTGTAAAGCTTTGTTGCGTCCCTCCTCCCTCCCCTCCTCCGAGACTCCTCCTCCTCCGGAGCACCCTCCTCCTCCTCCTCCCCCTCCTCCTCCTCCTCCTCCCGCTGCTCCCCCCTTTCCCGCCCAGGCGCCAGATGGACCAGGGCACGCTGGAGCGGAGGTGCAGCTTTCGCGCCGCGATTTCATTGAGTTCTCCCAGGCGCCCCCCTTGGAGATGGACCCCTCGTGCGGCATGCCCGGCTTTGCGACGGACGACGACCTCTCGACGATGCTGTGCAGGCACGGCCGCACCGTCTTCGGGGTCCGCCTCGATTACATCGACATTAGCCTCGACACGGCGAAGATCCGCGGGCAGTTGTCGGAATTCGACGTGCTTAGTCGCCCCGCCGAGGGTGATCGAGAGGGTGGTCCGCCAGGTGCCGGGGGCCCCCCCGCGCCCTTGCCCATCGCCGACGGTGGTGGCGACGGTGCCGATTCTGATGAGGATGATGACTGGCTATCGGCGATGCGGCAGTCCCCCTCCAAGAAGGCAGCGGCCGCGGAGCCATCACCTGGGCCAGCACCTGCGGCGGCCCCCGAGGCGGCGCAGGCGGAGCCTGAGCCAGAGGAGGAGGAGGGCGTGGGCGACCTCGTCCTGGACCACGAGCTGTCTGAGTTGCTCGGCGCTGAGGGCGTTGCCGACCTCCGCGATCTATCCGAGATGCTCGACGGCCTCGAGGCGGGCGTTGACAAGGACGGCGCCGGCGCTGACGTTGACGAGGACGTCGCCGCTGTCGCGGAAGAGGAGAATGACGAGGACGAGGGCGGCCAGGATGACGAGCCAGGAGGCGGAGGCGTCCTGGGCCACCCTGACATCGGGGGCGGCGCGGAGGCGGTCACGGCAAGGGACGTGGTGCGCACCATGTGGGACGTGAACATCGCCAGGATCGTGACGATGGCTCTCGAGCTCCACCTTTCTGAGTCGTGGGAATTGCGCAGGAATGCCGACAACCGCGCTGTTGGGAAAATATCGCTGGTCGACGGCGTTGTCATGAAGGCGGTGTGCAAGAACAATCATGGCCCCAACTGCCAGCTGCTGATCAACGGCGAGTCTCGCATGGACCAGGTGGAGGCTGACCTCGTCAAGTGGCTGGCGCACGGCCAGGTGGTCAGCCGCGAGGAGCACGCGGCGGCCGGCGTCACCATCAAGCGGGACAAGTACCACATGAAGGTGAGGGTCAATGCCGCATCGGCGTCCTCGGCTGGCCCGGCGCCGTCGTGACGGCGGAGGCGCTTGGACTGCGGGCCATGCATTCGAATTATGTGCGGGCTGCGGCTGGGGAGGCAGCCCGCCATGCCTCAGGTTCGGCCCTGGGCGAGACCCCAGGGGTCAGACAGACGGCGTGCTCGAGGTTGCTGTTCAAAAACAGTCGCCTCGATCGTTCGACCCCCACCTCGAGTCTCGCCCCCTAGCCAGGGCTTACTCGCAACAAGATCCGCCGACGCCTAGTGGGGGCCCCAGGGTAGCGGTAGTAGTACGGCCAATTGGCCGATGATGATTCTTTTTCCAGGAGCCGTTGGTGGCCCGTTTTCTGGTCATTATTGTTCGTCGGGCGCTCGCCCGTGCCTCGTCGGGGTCAGCGTGTCAGCGTGGAAGATACCCCCCCTTCTCTCTTCCTCCCCCTCCTCCGAATCCTCCAGGCTCAACCTCATCCTCGTCCTTGGATCCGATCCCTGGGCCCACCCGATCATATCCCATCGCCGCCCTCCCGCCCCTCCCGGCACGGGGGTCAACAATTATTGCCTTGCGAGTCGGGCGCAGCACCGACCGCCGACCCCCCCCCCTCGGCCCCGGGACCCGTTGAAATCAGCGGTGCTGCTGCTCAGGCCCAGGCTCGGGGCCCATCGGAATCTGACATGGGGGGCCTTGTCCCGCCAGCGCCCCTCTTCCCGCCCCCGAGCGGCCGAGCGGCCGGCGGTTGGCCTTGTCCAGGTCGCAGCCGCAGATGATAATCCTGGCGGGGGCGGGCTGATGAGTCGAGTCATCATCTCGCGCGGGTCTCCCGGGCCACCGTAGCCAGCCTTTAAAACTCGAGCTCCCAGCCTCACCATTCGCCGTGCACGGCCTACGCGGCCGCCAGCCCCGCGGATCTCATGTCCATGAGTGTGACGAGCACACCGAAGGGTACATATGTGGCCTTCCCAGCTTCCCGAACTCAAACGGCCTCGCACATGGCCGTCGACCAGGCGGGGCAGGGGGGGGGGCGTCGCAACCAACCTCGATTTGAGTCGACAGGGGCGGGATTCCCATGCCAGTGCTCGCCCCTTTCGGCTGCTTCGCAGCTCGCCCCCCCTGAGCTGCCCCCACGAGGACACGATGAAGTCCTTCGGTGGCGCACTGGTGCAGCGCCTCACGCCGAATGAGCTGAGAAACGTCGACGCCCTCCTCTGGAACAAGTGCGGCGGCGTCCTGAAGGTGGCGACGATGTGCTCTGGCACGGACTGCGCGGCTCCTGGGGGCGCCCGATCGTTTTTCGCTCTCGCACTCTGTCTCCCTCTCTCTCCCCTGCCTCCCCCTCCCTCCCCCCCCGAGGGCCCCTGGCCTCTCTCTCCCTCTCCCTCTCCCTCTCTCTCTCTCTCTCTCTCTCTCTCTCTCTCTCTCTCTCTCTCTCTCTCTCTCCCGCTCCCTCTCTCCCCTGTTTCTCCCTCTCCTCACTCGCTCCCTCCCTCCCCCCCTCTCCGCTCCCCCTCTCCCTCTCCCTCTCTCTCTCTCTCTCTCTCTCTCTCTCTCTCTCTTCTCTCTTCCTCTCTCTCCCCCCCACACCCCCCCCCCCCCCGCCCCTCCACTCCCCCGCCCCTCTCCCTCTCCTCCCCATCCTCTCTCTCTCTCTCCTCCTCTCCTCTCCTCTCCTCTCCCTCTCCCACTCTCTCTTTCTCTCTCTCTCTCTCTCTCTCTCTCTCCCTCTCCCACTCTCTCCCCGCATCCCATCATTCATCTCTTGTCTCTCTCCTCTCTCTCTCTCCTTCTCTTTCTCTCTCCCTCTTCCCTCTTCTTTCTGTCTTTCTTTTCTCTCTCTCTTCTCCTCTCTCTCTCTCTCACCCTCTCTCTCTGCCTCGCTCCTCCCTCTCCTCTCTCCCCCCTCTCTCTCTCTCTCTCTCTCTCTCTCTCTCTCTCTCTCTCCCTCGCTCCGCCTGAGCCCCTCCTCCCCAGTCACCTCCCACGCCCTCGCCTCGCCTGCCTCCTCGCTCGCCGGGGGAGGGGTGGCGGCACGGGCCCCCCTCCAACCTCCGGCCCCGCCCGCCAGGTTATGGCGACTGGCGATCTCGTCCACGCTCTCAACTCCGCCATCGATCGCGAGTTCGCGGAGCCGCGGCGGATCAAGGTGTCCCACGTCTTCTCGGCCGAGTCGGACCCTGCCAAGCGGGCTTTCATCAAGAAGATGTTTCCGCGGTGCAACTACGTGTTCGGTGACATGACGAAGTTGGGGCCCATGGGTGCGCTCGTGACCAACTACGTGCATGACGGCGAGGACGCCGTGCCCAGGAACGTGGACATTCTCATCGTGGGCTTCCCGTGCGACGACGTGTCTCTCAAGAGCCATGCAGCTCGGAGCGGCGCGAACGATTCGGTCGTGGACGATGCATCTGCCAGGACGGGCTCCTGCTTCGAAGGCGCGCCGGCTTCGGGGGCGCTAAACAAATTGAAGTCGTGTTTTAGCGGGGCAGGGGATGGGGCAGGGGGCCCCCAGGTCCTGGCAGGAGGCTCGGAGGAGGAGGTGGAGGCGATGCGGCATGTCTTGGATTGGCCCCAGGAGGTGGAGGAGCTCCTGGAGGACGCGGCGTCGAGGAGGGGAGGGTCCAGGACTCCAGGACTACCCTGGCCCCTGGTCCTCAGGAGGGTGTCCAGGACCGTCCAGAAGCCCCCGAGTCATGCGAGGGGGCCCTCCTCCTCCTCCTCCTCCGTCTTCCATCCCCTCGCGCCCTGGGCCCTTCGGAACTCCGAACCCTCCGAGCCTCCTCCGCCTCTCTTCCTCAGAGGCATCATCGAGTACGTGCTGAACAGCGGGTGCAAGTTGGTGGTGTTGGAAAACGCATGGGGCCTCTACGCCACGGGCAACTTGGCCCAGTGTCAGCGGAAGCTCCATGCGGCTGGCTTCTTCGCCAGGGTGTACCTCCTGAACCCGTCCAAGCATTTTGGGTGGCCGCAGCACAGGCCTCGTTTCTGGTTCGTGTGCATCAAGAGGACCGCTGCCCCTATCGGCATTCCTGACAGCGCCGTCTTCGCGAAGGTCGACGAGTTGATGGCCCGCTTCGCGAAGGACCATGCCAGGGTCGAGCTGAGCAACGTCATCTTCCCCGATAGCAACAGGAAGGTTCGCACATATTTGGAGACCGGCCCCACTACGCCACCAGACCGCAGGCCGATCGTGAGGACTCCGCGGCGCCCAGTCAAGAAGGCGCGCGGGGGAGATCCTCTTGCTGGCGCTGCAGTTCTCCCGAGGTGGGTTGACGACCACATCTCTCGGTGCGCCAACGCTGGGACGGATGATTGGTGGAAGCCGAGCATGCCGGACAGGGAGACGCTCGGCATGCTTCCTGGACTGCAGAGGCTCTCTGCCCGCCAGTTCGACGTCCTCCAGCAGCACGGCGTCGAGGTGCCGTGGGCCGGGGGCGACGCCAAGCTGATCGACCTCAGCCAGTGCACCCAGTTCTGCGAGGCGCCCGGGGCCAGGGTCGGGGCGCGGGAGGGTTGATCTTGCTTGGGTGAGCTCGGGTTTTGAGCTTAAGGCAGCAAAGCCTTTAGCGCATCCTCATTATCTTCCTCTCCGCCCCCCTCCTTCCCCTCCCACTCCTCCTCTTTCCTCTCTCGCCGGCCTTCCCTCACCTCCTCCTCCTCCTCCTCCTCCTCCTCCCCCCCTCCCCCTCTTCTGTCCCCTCCGCTTCCTCTTCCTACTGCTTTGGAGGATTCCTACTTTGGGCATTCCACCCCCCCTCCTCCTCCTCCTGCTCCTGCGCCCCCTGTCCTCGTCCTCGCCTGCTCCGACCCCGCCGACTCGATCGAGCCGAGCGTCAGACACGCGTCGGGATAATCCAGAACGAGCGCCTGGGACGTAACTTAACCGCAAGCGTCGGTTAGCCGTCCGCTAGTCGTCAGCCTGCCGTCGTCGGACAGACCTCCGCATGCCGCCAGGTTAACAGTCTGGGCTGTCAGTCCGCCGTCAGCTAGCGGCCTGGTAGCCGTCCGCTAGCCGTCGGTTAGCCGTCCGCTAGCCGTCTGGTTGCCGTCGGTTAGCCGCCCGAGTAGCCGTCCGCTAGCCGCCCGCTAGTCGTCTGGTAGCCGCCTGCTAGCCGTCCGCTGAGCGTCCGCTAAGCGTCCGCTAAGCGTCCGCTAAGCGCCCCACGGCCCGTCAATGAAGCGTCCGCTAAGCGTCCGCTAAGCGTCCGCTAAGCGTCCGCTAAGCGCCCCACGGCCCGTCAGTTAAGCGTCCGCTAAGCGTCCGCTAAGCGTCCGCTAAGCGCCCGCTAAGCGTCCGCTAAGCGGCCGCTAAGCGCCCGCTAAGCGGCCGCTAAGCGCCCGCTAAGCGCCCGTCAAGCGCCCGCTAAGCGCCCGACGAGCCGTCAGTTAAGCGCCCGCTAAGCGTCCGCTGAGCGTCCGACGAAAGCTCCGCGCGCACGCTGACGCGGCCTGCCCTTCTGCCAAAAGTAAAGAAACCTTTACTTTTGGACAGAGCGGCATGCCGTGTCATCGCGCGCACGGAGGTGTCGTCGGGCGCTTAGCGGGCGCTTAGCGGGCGCTTAGCGGGCGCTTAGCGGGCGCTTAGCGGGCGCTTAACTGACGGGCCGTGGGGCGCTTAGCGGGCGCTTAGCGGGCGCTAGCCCGCTTAGCGCCGCTGGCGGGCGCTTAGGCGGCGCTTAGCGGGCGCTTAGCGGGCGCTTAGCGGGCGCTTAGCGGGCGCTTAGCGGGCGCTTAACTGACGGGCCGTGGGGCGCTTAGCGGGCGCTTAGCGGGCGCTTAGCGGGCGCGTAGCGGGCGCTTAGCGGGACCAGACGACTAGCGGGCGGCTAGCGGGCGGCTAATCGGGCCGGCTACGGGCGCGTAGCGGCGCTAAACGGCGCCGCCAGCGGGGCTGCTAGCGGCGCTAATTCGGCGGTCTGGGCTGGCTGGGGGGCGGCTAATCGGCCGCCTGTTGCGGCCCCAGGGGGGCCGGTGAGGGGGGCACCAGGGGAGCCTAGTGGGAGAGCGGGGGGCGGTGGGGGGGGCCGGGGGAGGGGTGGCGAGGGGAGGCGGTAGGGGATGGCGGGCTAGGGGGGGGGGCTGGGCGGGTCCCATAAGGGGGGCGGGGGGGCGGGGCGGGGGGGGCCGAGAGGGGGCCGAGAGGGGGCCAAGAAGGGGGCCGAGTGGGCCCGTGGGGGTCCCAGAGAGGGGCCGAGGGGGGGCCGAGGAGGGGGCCGAGGGGGGCCCTTGGGGTCCTCCTGGGGTGGGCCGAGGGGCCCTCGGGGGGCTGGGAGGGGGCCGAGAGGGTTCCAGAGAGGGGCCGTGGGGGGGCCGAGGGGGGCCCGAGGGGGGCCGAGGGGCGAATTCGGGGGACCCGAGGGGGGGCCGGAGTGGGCTCGAGGGGGGCCCGAGTGGGGGCCCGGAGGAGGGCCGGGGGTGAGGCAGGGGGGGGGGGAGAGGGGCCGAGGGGGGGGGGGGCAAGGCGAGGCGGGCCCAGCGGTGGGGGGGTCCGAGGGGCGTCCGAGGGGGGCCCGAGGGAGGGTCGTTGGGGGGCCGAGGGATGGCCGAGGGGAGGGGGCAGCGGCAGGGGCGGCCGCGGACGAGGCCGCGGGCATCATCATCACTGGGGAAGTCTTGGAGCCTTCTTGAGGCCATCTCCGATCTCCGACCAGCCCTGAAACCATCTGGACCCTGTGAGAGCCCCATCGTGGTCGCACTGCCACCATCGTCGTCGTCGTCGTCGTCGTCGTCGTCGTCGTCACTATCGAATTCGTCATCATATCCGTCATCATCGTGGCGTCGTTGTACTGCGATTCGGCGGCGACCCCCCCCGACGGGAGAGCGGGATGATCATCATCATCATCATCATCATCATCATCATCGTCGTCGTCGTCGTCGTCGTCATCATCATCGTAATCATCATCATCCTCATCATCGTCGTCATCATCATCGCCATCAGCATCAGCACCATCATCATCATCATCGTCATCATCATCATCATCACCATCGCCACATTCGTCGTTCCATCTTCGTCGTCGCTGTCATCGTGTCATCGGCATAATCATCGTTATCTCCCTCATCGACACCGTGCATCGCATCGTCGTCGTCCTGGCCACCTTCGCCGCCAGCATCATCATCACCATCACCACCATCATCGCCATCGTCATCATCATAACCGCCGTCGTCGTCGTATCATCATCATCATCAACCAACATCCGCAAGAGCACGGGCTGACATCCGAATCAGAGCTGATATTTGCCGTTCACCGCCGATGATGATTCAAATGATGATCGCCATCATCGTCATCATCATCATTATCACCGTCGTCGTCATCGTCGTCAAAGCCATCGCCATCGCTGGCGATGTGGCGGTGCGTCTGGGGATCACCGTCGCGGGGGGCGCCCTGCGCCCGCCGCTCCGTAAGACGTACCTCCTCCTCCTCCTCCTCCTCCTCCCAATCCCACCACCCCTAACGTGCCCCGCCCCTCCTGGCCTCCCCGCCCCTCTCCTCTGCCTCCCCCCCCTGCGCCAGGCGATGTCGAACATTTGCCCGACGGTCTCGCCTCGCTCCGAGATGTACATCAGCAGCCGCCACCGCTTCCTGCTCCCCCAGGAGCGCTGCCCCCCTCCCTCCTCAGAGCCTCCCCTGCCCATCCGCCACCGTTCCCCTTCGCCCCCCCCCCCCGCAGGGCGAGGTGGGGGGATAACTAACTTAACCGTGCCGCCCCGAGTCGGCCAGGGCCCGTAAACGGTCCGCAAGTGCAAGATGCACGCAACCCGTTCCTGGTTTTGAATTTCCCGCGGGCAACGGGACGCATCAGAGCGCTCGCCCCCACCCCCACCCCCCACGCCAACACACGCGGGGGGCCCACGAGAGGCGGGTGGGTAGACCCTGTGCCAGGAGATGCTGCGGCTGCAGGGGATATTCTTCCCTGCGGAGGACGAGTGGAAACTCGAGGAGGTAGCGCCCGCTCTCCTCGCAGACCTCGCCGGGAACTCGTTCGAAACCCACTGCTGTGAGGCTGCTACTCTGGCGGGGATGGCCGTGCTCGGCGAGCTCCAGTGCATGCCGGACTCGGCCTTCACCAAGTGCCAGACCGTCCAGACCCGCGCCTGCCAGGAACGGGCGCCTAGGGGCTCCGCCCCCTCGGCCGGAGACGAGGCGGAGGAGGAGGAGGGGGGGGGAACGGGGGAGGAGAGAGGAGAAGATGGAGGACCCCTAGCGCCCGTCACCTCCTCCAGGAGGAGGTGACGGGCGCTTGTGGAAGAGATGGGGGAGGGTACGGCACGGCATGTAACGACGAGGCGGTCGAGACGAGACGACGACGCTGGCCGGCCGATCGGCGTAGGACTCCGACTCGGACTCGGGCCGCTCCAGCTCGACGCTTCCTCTTCGTGGCCGCAGCGGGCCGCCGTCGCCAGATCGCCCGGCTGCCACTGAGGCTGGGTGTGTGTGTGCGGTTCCTGGGATTCCTAGCGCCCTCGGGACCTCGTCGTCGCCGCGTCTGGGACTCGGTTCGAAGTTCAAACGCAGGGATGGCCTGGGTTCGCACTCACTCGGTCTCGAACTTGGCTCGCGGCCCCCAATGCCCCCCAGAAGGTTGGCGGTGGCCGCCGCGCGTCGGGGTCGAGCACCGCCGCCGCGGCCGCTGGGGGGACACCGCCCGCGGCATCCGTGCGGACGCTCGCAGCATATACCGATCGCCGCTGCATTCGGAAGAATCTCTTCAAGCAGCGGCAGAATCTCTCGGTCATCAGCGACGGCGACGGCGACGAGGCCATGCCCAGCCACGACCCCCAGGCTGCCTAGGATGCCCAGGCTCCTGGGCCGCGGCCGAGATCGACCCGATGCGGGATTGATGCGCTCCTGGCGTTGAGGGAAGGCCGCCGGGGCCATGGGCCATGCACGGCCCGAGGCAAGTGAGGTGGGGCTCGAGGTGGGCCCGAGCTCTAAATTGTAGACTGCAGAATTAGCCGCAGTCGCTGGGTGTGAGTGAGTGTGGCTGCTAGTAGTGCAGTGTGACGACGCTGGGCCCCCCCGTTGAAACCTCTGTGTTAAGATGTTGTTTCAAGCTGGGGCCCCGTCCGCCGCCGCGATTGCTGGTCCTCCGCCTCGAGCCCCCCCCCCCCCCCCCCCCCCCCTCGTCTCCTGCTCGCTCCTCCTCCCTCCTCCTCCTCCTCCTCTCCTCCTCCTCCTCCTCCTCCTCCCCCTCCCCCTCCTCCTCGTCCTGCCCCTCCTCCTTCCTCCTCCTCCCTCTCCTCCTCCTCCTCCTCCTCCTCGTCCTCGTCCTCGTCCTCCTCCTCCTCCTCCTCCTCCTCCTCCTCCTCTCCACCACCTCCAAGCAGCGGCAGCGGCGCCCCCGGGCGGTGCAGAGAGCTCGGCGGGCGAGGTTTTGATTGCGGGCAGACGCGTCGCTGCCCAGGAAAACGGTTGGCCGGTGGCAGCGGGCTGGGGGTCGGTCGTCCTGTCGAACCGCCGTGATCGTGATCCATCGTTGCCCTGCGGCGCGGGCAGCGGCCAGTTAGAGAAGACAGACA